AATTTCATCTCTCAAGCGAATAAATTGGTTTGTCTTAACTGCCTTCGTCAAAAGATCTGCTAGTTGTTTATGGGTGCTGCAGTGCAGAACTTCTAACATTTCTTTATGCACTTGACTTCTGAGAAAATGATACTTCGTCTCAATGTGCTTGCTTCTTCCATGTAGCACTGGATTCTTGGCAAGATCAATTGCAGACTTATTATCAATCATCAGCTTCAGAGGTTCCTCAACTTCAACCTTCAGATCGTGCAAGAGATTCAGAAGCTAAACAACTTGACAAGCAGCTACAACACCTGCGATATACTCAGCTTCACATGTTGACAGAGCCACGACAAACTGTTTCTTGGAACTCCAGGAAATGGGACCTCCTAGAAATTTAAACAAGTATCCAGAAGTACTTCTCCTGTCCACGCTGTCTCCACACCAGTCAGAATCAGAATAACTTACTAATTCTGGTTCTGTCTTTCTTTCAGAAGGAAACCAACACTCCATATTTCAGAGTTCCCTTGATATATCTCAGAATTCTGACAGCAGCTTGGAAATGAGACCACTTTGGATTACTCGTGAATTTGCTAACCAATCCAACTGCATAACAAATGTCAGGTCTAGTATTTAATAAATACCTTAGAGAACCAACCAACTGTTTGAAGGTTGTAGTATCAACAGAATCACCATCAGAGTCAGAATCTAATTTTTGATTGGTTTCTGATGGTGTCACAACAACTTTACAATTCTGCATCTAAAATCTCTTCAGAAGTTCAAGTTCGTACTTCAACTGATGCAAAATGATATCCTTCTTTGAGTAGAGAATCTCCATCCCTAGGAAATATGTCATATTTCCTAGATCTGTCATCTCGAACTCATTTATTAGATCTTCTTTGAATTTCTTTATATCTTCTGGGCAGTTTCCTGTTAGCAAAATGTCATCAACATAGAGACACACCAGAATCATATTGTTATCAGAGTGTTGCACATAAACGCTATATTTCATCTCACATTTCTGAAACTTATCCTTCTTGAAAAACGAATCAATTTTTAGATTCCAAGCTCTGGGCACTTGCTTTAGTCCATACAGAGCTTTATTCAACTTGTATACCATCCCTTCCTGATTCTTTTTCACAAATCCAGGAGGTTGTGACACGTAAACTTCTTCCTATAATAGACCGTTCAGAAATGCAGACTTCACATCCAGATGCATCAAAAGCCAATTTCTATTTGCAGCTAAAGCAATCATCAGTCTGATTGTTTCATGCCTAGCTACAGGCGCAAACACCTCAATGTAATCTAGCCCAAGTTTCTGAAGAAAACCTCTAGCTACTAGTCTATCTTTGTGCTTGCCAATTGAACCATCTGGCTTAAGTTTCATCTTAAAAACCCATCTGACGCTTATGGCTTTTTTATTATCTGGATGTTTAGTCAATTTCCATGTTTTGTTCCTTTCTATTGCTTCAAGTTCTTCTGTCATGGCATTCAATCATTCTTTCTTCTTGAGAGCTTCTTCAATGGCCACTGGTTCAAAATCTACTAACATGACACACTGAACGACTTCTCCTTCGGAGTCAACTTCATTATCCTGCAACATGTCGAAATCTACAAACCTTCTTGTTTTTTGTTTGATTCTCTGTGGTCTTTGAGCTTGTTTTGAAACTGCACTAGAACTACTACCTTCAGTGTTACCACCTTCAGAGTTTTCCCTTCCAGAACTATGGTCACCACCAGATTCTGAATCATCATTAGCATCTGGATCAGAATCAGGTCCATTGTCAGAATCTCCTTCTGACTCATCTTAAGAATCTTCAGAATCAGATTCATCTTCTGATTCTGACTTATCTTCAAAACTTTCTAAAACAACTTCAGAAGTTAACTCTGGTGTTGGCACTACACCAGAATCTGATTGAGACTTGTTCCAATCCCATGCTTCAGACTCTTTCACCACAACGTCTCTGCTGACTTCAACTTTATTAGTTTCTGGACAATAAAGCTTATACGCACCTGTACTGTGATACCCTACCAACAACATTACTTTGCTTCTATCATCTAGTTTTTGTCTTCTAGCTTCTGGAACGTGTTTGTAACAGACAGAGCGAAACACCTTCAGATGACTGTCACTCTACTTATCTCCAGTCCATTTTTCTAAAGGAACAACTTCCTTCAGCTTCTTCGTTGGACATCTGTTCAGAATATATGCTGATGTGGCAACAACTTCTCCCCATAACACGTGAAGTAGCGTTTTTTCTTTCAGCATACTTCTGGTCATATCAAGCAAAGTTCTGTTTCTTCTTTCAGCAAGAGCGTTGTGCTGAGGAGTATATGGAGCAGTAACCTCATGTTCTATTCTATTCTCCTCACAGAACTTCTGGAACTCTGTAGAGTTATACTCACCTCCACCATCCATTTTCAGAATCTTTAACTTCTGACCACTCTGCTTCTCAGCCTTCAATTTGAACTTCTGGAACTCAGTAAACACTTCATGCTTGAACTTGATGAGTGTTACCCATGTCATTCTTGTAAACTCGTCCACAAAAGACACAAAGTATTTGTTTCCTCCAAGTGAAGGTACTGGAAATGGTCCACACACATCAAAATGTACTACTCCCAGAGCATGCTTCGCTCTGGGGGCTACTTCTTATGCAAATGGCAATCTGGGTTGCTTTCCTTTCATGCATATCTCACATGACTTCTCAGGCTTCACAATCTTCGAAATAGCATATACAAGCTTCTTAGAACATAGATGCCCTAAGCTTCTATAGTTCACATGCCCCATCCTCTTATGCCACAACTTACTGTCACCTTCAGCATCTTCTGCATTGAGACACGTTGCTTCAGCTGTTTCTACATTCACCTTGCATGTTCAGTTGCTTCCTTGTTCAGATTTCATAATCAACTTCTGATTGGAATCATACAACGTCAAGAGATTGTTTTTCATAACAACTGAGAAACCTTTCTCAATCAGCTGACCCACGCTCATCAGATTGCTTCTAATACCAGGAACATACCAAATATATTTGATCAGAATGTTTTTCCCATTCTTCACTCTAACTCTGACATCTCCCATACCTTCTGCATTAAGATACTTATCGTCAGCACATCTGATCTTTGTTCTCCTTCTGGGGTCAAAGTCTTTCAGTAATTGTTTGTTTCCAGTTAAGTGATTTGAACAGCCAGTGTCCATATACCACCAATCTTCTGAGCATTTTTCATCAGAATCAGAAGCCATTAGTAGCACAGGTTCATCATCAGAGTTTCTCTTAGCCATATACGCTTCTTCTGATTTCCTTTCCTTGTTTGACCTACAATCTCTGGAAAAATGGCCAAATTGTTTACAAGAGTAACATTGAACATTCCTTTTGTCATACCTCTCCTTTCCTTTATGATATCTCTTATCATCAGAAGTTGAGGTTTCTGACTTCTGGAATCTATCACCATATTTATTCTGCTTCTGGTCTTTCTTGTCAAAGGAAGCTTTTAGAGCTTGCTCAGCTTCCCTCTCAGAAGTTCTCTCAGACAGACGTAACTCCTGTGCTTCTAAACTGCTTTGCAATTCTTCTATTATCATTGTTTCCAAATCTTTAGAATGTTCAATAGAAACAACAATGTAATCAAACTAAGGAGTAAGCGACCTCCGAATCTTCTCTATGATTACCTGCTCAGACAAAGTTTCTCCACACGCCTTTATCTCGTTAGTGATCAGGATCACTCTGGAGATATATTCAGAAACTTTCTCACTGTTCTTCATGTTCAGGTTCTCATATTGCTTTCGCAGGGATTGAAGCTTCATCTTCTTTACTGATGCGTCACCACCGTAACATCTCACCAGTAAATCCTACGCCCTTTTTGACGTTGTCGAATCAGCAATCTTCTCGAACACACTTTCATCCACACACTGATGGATATAGAACAAAGCTTTCTGGTCCCTCTTCCTCATAACCTTCTCAGCAGTTTTCTGTTCTTCAGTTGCATCTGTTACAGCTGGTACATAACCATCTGTAACCAGATCCAGAACATCTTGCGCACCAAACAACACACACATTTGTATCATCCACCTGTTCCAGTTTTTGCCATTAAAAACTGAGAGTTTGGTGTTCAAACTACTGCCTCCACTCATCTTTAACCTTGCACAAGTTTTTCAGATCTTCAAACACACTGTTTTCCAACCCACAAAATCAGATTATGTTCAGATTTTGTTCAAGATTTCAACAGAAAATCAATGAAACAAAATCAAACACACAACTCACAATCACTCGTGTTTCCCAGGAAAAATAGAACCAAGTGCTCTAGATACCAATTTGTTGGTGCAAGGTAATGAAGTGGGAGAAGAAGAATGAACAAAGAATGATAACAAAAAACTACTGTTGTATATCAAAATAGAGGAGATAAAGTAGGGTACAATATTGATAGTTTAGGATAACATATTTATACTAAATATTGAAAACGCCAAAAGACCCTATTAAAAGGTAAGCATTGAGAATTATAAAAATTAATTAAATTATCTTTTCAATAGAGTCAACCCTCTTTTTTATGAGAGAATAAAGCAATTTGAAGTTGATTGCCACATTGTTTGTAAAAAGTTGCAAGCCAATGTTCTCAAACTACTTGTTTCTTCTAACGATCAACTGATTGACTTCTTCGTTAAACCACTTTTATCTAAACCGTGTCATCTTCTTGTATACAAGTTGGAGTTGATTAATAGCTATCCTCCAACTTGATGGGGATATTAGACCATACATAGTTTTCTCATATCAGACCATACATAGTTATTACACAAACTACATAGTTTGTTAAATGTCAGTTAGATAATTATTAGTTTATTATGGTGGTTAGGAGTTTATTAGAAACTATGCTCTTATATTTGGTCCATATATCTTGCTACTTTAGCAACTTTGGTTCATCATTTTCTAATCAAGGAAGAAGTTTTCTAATTCCTTGACAGTATAACTTAATTAAAAATCAAATTAAGAACCCTACTAATTGCCACTCATTTCTTCTTTAAGACAACTACATTAATTAACTAACCAATTAAAAAAAATTGAGAAAGGTTGAGAGGTTTGAAACAAATTACCGTAATGAATACAGCGACGTTGGTTATTCTCATCGATGTATGAAAACCATCCATCTTTACAAAGACTGTTGGCCCAAGAAAGTTCAAATCCATAAAGCATCATACGGCGGATGTCCGTGCAAGAAATGTTGTTGTTGTTTCCATCTTGTAAATCCCAAGAAGTGAGATACATAAACTCTATACGACACCCGTCTTCCAGCCCCAATCTAGAAAGAGATTTGTCATATCCAAATATGATAGAATTGACATAGGAAGAATTTCCATGCTGCGGATAGGAATCACTAACGTTGGTGCAGGTAGCGGTAGGAAAGTAAATATCAGAAGAATATTGGACATGATTTGGACAGTTTACATATAAAATAAGCTTTACCAATGATTTATAGTAATCCCCATACACTTGGTATGGCGAGGTTAGGGTATTGTGGTAAGTGAAACTATAGGATCGTAGAGGATGAGAGGGGACAGAATCATTGGAGTAATTGAAATCCAACAATCGTATAGTGAAGTTGTTGTAATTAATCGACTGAACATAGTATTTTCCAAATGATTCAAAGTACAAAACCAATTGGTTGTTGTCTTCACATGATAAGATGCACCTTTTGTCACCACAGTGTTTGGGACTGTTTTTCAGCCGGAAAGGGTGTGTGATGTTATGGACACCGCACCTTTGAGAACATGATTCTTGTTGCTCATCACCATACACTTTCTTGTACTGGAATATTAGCAAAAACACTACCACTGCAAGGTTTACTGTTGCAAAGGATGGCATTTTTTGTTTTCCGATAAGTGGCATGCTTCCGCTGTATGCGCACTGGAAATAAATAAAGGTACCAGTATCATGGAAGCTGCGTTTATCAAAATCAAAGACTAAGTCAACTGTGAAAAGTAGGATTTTTTCAAGTCTTGAGATTAATAAATTCTAATAAGATGTTGATGGAAGTAGATTAAGCATATCTTTGAATGAACGGTTCATCATTCACGGTGTTACAGACACCACATATATTGAAATAAATGTATATATACTACTACCTCCATTCCCACTAATTTTTTTTTTAAGGTAATTAAATAATTAATATATTTGATTTATAAATCGACCATATTGATCATTTAATAAATTTAAAAATTAAATTGTCTCTTATATACAATTTAGTTCAATTCAACTTTTTAACGCAAATTCTTATGTTACATATTAAAATTTTAAATAGTTCGTTAAAATAAACTAGTAAAATACAAGTGTTTTCGTACGGATAAGTTTTTAATATTATATAAAATATATTTAAATATATATTAATTTAAAATGAGTAATTTAATTATAAATAAATAATATAAAATAATTGTATTAAATAAGCATATAAAAAAATCTGTAAATTAAAGAAAAAAAATGAAATTTTAATATTTAAAAATAAAAATTATCTTTCAAATAAAGATAATTATTGATTAAAATAAAATAGTCATTGTACTGATAATAACCCGTAAGATAAAAAATTTTATTTGATGCGATTTAAAATAGATTTAAATACAAATGCAAAATTTGAAATGATTTACTTAATTGTAAAACGAACAATAATCTTATAAATTTAATTCTATTAAATAATCATACAAAAAGAATAACAAAAAGGAATCGTAAGATGGAGAAAGAAAAAAATAAATATTTAAAAGGTAAAATATTAATTTTGGTCCTTTAACTATATCTTTAGGTTTAGATTAGTCCCTTAATTTTTTTCGTGTCACTTTGGTCCATTAACTTTCAAAATGTTTCATTTTAGTCTTTTTGTCCAATTAGCGACAGATTTAGCGATCGATTTCAAAGTTTTTTCGTCGTTAATTAGGCAAAAATGATTAAAATGAAATTTTTTGAAAGTTAAGGAACCAAGGTGACACGGAAAAAATTAAGGGATTAATCTGAACTCAAGGGTATAGTTAAGGGACCAAAATAAATATTTTGTCTATTTAAAAATAAGGATTTTGTCTCTCAAATTTAAATAATGGTTGATAAAAATAAAATAGATTGTGTTGATAGTGGCTCGTGAGATAAATAAAATTTTAATTTTATATTATAATTAAAAAAATTAGTTATTAGTATTTTTAGTGATAATAAATAAATAGATTGCAAAGGAGTAGCGTGAGATGGAGGATCAAATTAGAAGTATCGGATTCACTTGATCGTGCTCTGATCAAGTGAAGAGAAAAATATAGGATCAACATCATACCTAGATTTCGAATTGCTGGATTGCTACTTGTTCTCTTGTAATCAACATTTTGCAAAGGTAATTTTCATTATCTCAATTCTGAACGTAATTGGGGGCAGACACACCCATAGAGAGACCGATTGAGAAACTGCATAAATAAATTCTTGTGTCTCTCTCTTTCTCATTTACTCTCTATTTTAGGTTTAATAGCAAATTGTGAAAACTTTGATGGTGTAATCGATACATATCAATAAAACTATAGAAAAATCTGTTTTGTGTCGATTGCAAGTCATGTATTCGACAAATTACCTCAACTAGTTTTTGTTTAATATTTCATTGGAAATATATTGCTATTGCGTGATTTATATTCAAATATTATTTTCTGGAAATATATTGATTGTTTATCATCTTGCATATAAGTTCCATCGGTTAAACGTATATCCGGTCTTTTCAATAATGATTCGGATAGAAGATTTTTGATCTGAGGTTATTTTCGTGCACCATAGTTAAAAACTTTTTAAACAGAATTTTAATTAGAAAATTTCATTTGTAATCTATTCACCCCCCTTTAAATTGTAGCCTATAGTCTAATAATCAATTGTGGGTAGACGAAGTAGTGGAAGATGAAATGCTTGTCGAAGTTGTGGTAGATGGATTAAGAATGGAAGAATAATTCTCAAAGAGATTGTACAACTTATTCTTAATTTCTTCCCCTTTAAGTTTAGAAGTAAATGGATCAACCTTTGAGTAACAAAATTCTAAAATAGAAAGCTTTATCCTTGGGTCAAGAATTGCTCCTAGAGCAAGCACCACACTATAATCATGCCAATACTTCTCAAATTTCAACATCATATTAGTAGCCACTGTTTTAATAACATTGACTTCATCTTTCATACTTTCAACCAAAACACATTGAATTTTCCAAATTTGCAAAAAAATACAAATTAGAAGTTGGATAAAATGTTTCAGAAATTAAGTTTGTGGTCTCATAAAAAGGCAACAAGAATGCACATATTTCCTCTCCTCTTTTCTAGTATTCTTTTGAGGGGAAAACCTTAAAATTATGATCATGACAATTAAGACTTAAATATACATGTTGATACTTCAAAGCACTTTCTAGCATCAAATAATTTGAGTTCCATCTTGCTGGAACATCAAAAGACAAGCCAGCTGAAGTGTCAACACCATAAATGAGTTCAATGTACTCCTTAAATTTTTTCATTCTACCCTCCGAACCATTCACATATGATCGTACCTAACTAGAAGGGATTGTCAAAGCCTTCAACCTTTGAGCCGAGCAACAGTTGAAGGTGAAGTGGGGGGTACCTTCAAGATACTCTGATGCCAAAGTGAGGTTTAGAGCTAATGCAAGCAAGTGAGTATGAGAGTGTGAATGAATCAATACCTGACCTGCTCAATGAGAGGGTATTTATAGCCCTCAGTCCCGGGCCAAGGTCTTCAATGTTGGGCCACGATGAGGCCCAACAACAAAGAGTTCCAGGGCTTACGTGTGTATGGAGTTCAGCACGTGGCCTTCTCCCTGGTCAACTGCTTCGAGAAAACAGATGTTAGACCCGTTATTCCTGGAGGGCAGTATGATGATGATATGGACACGTGGGTAACATCTTCCTAGCGAACACATGGGGAAATGCCTAACGGTCTCCAGCTTAGGCTGCATGCCTTTGGGCCTTAGGCAAAGGCGCTCGATTGGGACTCCCCAATGGTGGGGCAAGTGCTGGCCCAGTTCAGAACAGGAGCCCCCCAAGTTTCTGCCCTTAGGTGAAAAGGTGATGACTTAAGTTCAGCTTCACTGTCGGGGAACTCTCACCCGAGAAGAGAAATCGTAACCCTCCATCGAGGATAACTTATTGACCCATGTCGGGGATCCTGGAAAAATGCGAGTTGCGCGGTCAACTAGATCATTTGTTCGTTCGGTGGTAGACGTTAGAAATATACAGAATTCTAGGAGTTTCCCCGAGTTTTCTTTTTCGACGTGCCTGTCCACAAGGTTTCGCTATGATACTGAGCGTTTACCTCGCCCCCATGAGTGAAACATGATAAACGTGCCCGTATGTAAGGTTTAGTCACGGGGTCGCGCGTTTTACCGCCACTGAGCGTGAAACGTATTCAACGTGATCGTGTACAATGTTTCGTATTGAAGTCGAGAATAAGTCCGCCTTCAAGAGTGGGCACGTGTCTGCTTGTTAAAGCCACGTGGCTGTTGTTTTGGGGTGCCATATTTTCAAAGGGGAGTTCAAAAAGCCCAAAATAATGATGACATTTTATGTGCAGCCTCGTGGGGTGTGAACCATCTATAAAAAGGGGACCCCAGGGGTTCACTTGTTATTCTCAAGTTCTCTTCTGCACTCTTCTCCATTCGCTCGCGGATCCTCTCCTCCCAGCGTCTCTGTAGAATTCTTCAAAGGCATTATTTATCCAAGTAAGTCATATCTTCTTGATAACATATATGATACGGTGGGAGAACTGACTTGATTGTTTTGCATTTGATCGCAAATGTTGCGGTTAGCAAGAGTCGCCACCGACTTTTCTTTTATCCAAATGGAAAGGTTGAAAGGAACAGGAAAGACCTTTCAGATGTTTTCTTGAGTTCGAGGGGTAGATTATGAAAAGGAAAGGTATTATCACCCTTTTCATCCGTAGTTATCTATGGGCTCTTAGTTGCTTGCTAGATCACTTGCTTTTATTTGAATGCGTGCGTGTGGTGTGGGTTTTGAAAGTATTTTGAAAATGTCTTTGTAATGGTTCTCGTTTCTATAAGAACGCGTACAAAGTGTTATATTTTGAAAATGTTTCAAAGAGGTGTTGGTGTATAAAATGTTTTTTTGTTGTGAGCAAGCGATCAACTAGGAGCGAATCTACCTACTCAAAAAGTCTTAAATGTTTTTTTCTCCTTTTTTAGATATTGCTATCTTACCATTGATTGATAAGAAGCCCCATCCTTGGATGTAAAGGGACGGACGCTGGACGTTCGTATAGTCATAGAAGGCAACCCATGGGATGTTTTAGCAATGTCGTTTTAGGGACTAGATCGTTTATCAAAGGGAACATCGAGGGTCATCGAGGGACTACGATCTTTTATCGAGGGTCTTTGCTAAAACGCCCATGTTCGAGGGACATGACTATTTTCTGATAGGCAATAAGTTAGATTACCCTAAGGGTGCATGTGTGAATAGTGTGTTTGATTGCATGCATTTAGTCTTTGATTTTTAGGTTGTCTACTTGTTGATTTTTATCTTGCCATACATCCTAATTACTAACATTTATATGAAAGCGATAAATTACGGAAAGTAAAGATTCTACGCTATTACAGTTATTAAGGGGATGGGCTGTACAAATTAAAAAAATGGGGATTGCAGGAAATTAAAGTCCTAATTATATATTAAAACCATATTGAAATAATGTACAAGAATTGAAATGGACTTGTTTTGTTTTTTGCAAAGAAGTTAGTTTACTTAAGAAAATATTTTGATCTTTTTGTTCTAAAAGAAATAAAATAAAACATGTGAATATGAAATATTTTTGATGTTTTTGGTTATTAAAAGAAAAAATAGGATAAATA